ATTTATTTTGTTGTGGGAAGGAAGGAAGGAAGGAAGGACGGACGGACGGACAGACAGATGGACAGAACTAGACAGGGTACAATGTTCATATTTAATGTTGCTTTTGGGAATAAGATTCTAATTCTAATGTTGCTTTTGGGAATAAGATTCTCTAGTCATGCATAAGTAGAAAAATGGCTTGGACTGGGAACATGCATCCCTTTGCATTTAATTAGGAAAGTAGAAGGTTACCATAAAACCTTGATTCAGACCCTGGGCCTCCAGTGTGGTCACAAATGTGCCAGGGTCCCAATCCCTCATAATTTTATTTTTATATTTTTTAAAAGTAAGCGGGAAACTAGCGTGCTGCAAAGCAAACTGCTATCCACTAGCATGTTGGAGTTGAACATACTGCTTTTGTGTTTTAGAAACCAGAGCCCAGTCTTGCCTTGGACAAGTTACTGTTCACTCAGTCTCAGCAGTTTGCCATCTGGCAGATGAGTTTGTGTTTAGCTGTGCCCACCGTGGTAGCTATTTTGTGAGTGAGCAAGCCCTTCGTTGTGGCCATTATGGGAAAGTGCCCACAATACTCTTTCAGAAGTCCTGATTCTAGAATCACAGGACAGTCGAGTTGGAAAGGGCCAAGAAGGCCATCAGGTCCACCTGCCTGCTCAGTGCAAAACCCCAGGTTATAGCATCCCTAAGAGATGGCTGTCCAGGTGCAACTTGAATGTTTCTAGTTCATCTGCACCTTTCCTAAAATGTAGCATCTAGAAATAGCAGTAGTATCCAAGGTGAAGCCTAGCAAGTGCCGAGTAGAGAGGAACTAGTACTTTATGAGATTTGGAAGTGATATTTCTACTAATGCAGACCAAAATAGCATTTCCCTCTTTTATTGTTGACACATATTCAGTTTGTGATCTGCAACACTTCTAAGATCCTACTCTCTTGTAGTATTGTTGAGCCAAGTATCCCACATATTGTAACTATGCATCTGGTTTCCTAGGTTCAGAACTTGGAAATTGTGCCTATTAAATATAATTGTGCTGTTTTTCAGCCCAGTACTCCAACTTATCGAGATCACTTTGAATTTGTTTCTGCCTTCCAAGTAATACCTATCCCACCTGTTTTGTCTCATCTGCAAATTGACCCGTATTCTTTGTATCTCCTCATTAAAAAAGATATTGAAGATTGCTGGGCCCTCACTCGTTTCCTCTTCCCGATTTGGGAAGGTGATGTCAATGATTCTGAGTCCAGTTCTGTAGCTAACTTGCTAATCAGGATAGCATGAAGCACTTTTCAAAAGCTTTGCTTCAGGCAGGTGCCCACCTACCCACAAAGCTTAGGGATCCCTAAATCAAAATTGCCTGCACTAGATGGCAGCAGCTTTCCAGGTGTTGCTGAGTCTTTTCCATCCCTTCCTAGTGATGACAGGTTGAATATAGATGCTACTAAATGAATAAATACGCATCCAATGTTCTGCTGCGCCTCTGAACTGTGGCTCTTCTCCTCATAAGCGTACTCAGAGAACAATTGTTCAGTAATGATTGAAAAGCAGGCTATACATTTTCCACTTAATGTTCCCGCAAAATAAGATAATAAGCATATTGAATGGCAAATGTACTTTTTTGCCACGTGAGTCTTCCTTGCTGGCTTGTAGGTGCCCCAAGCCATTCTCCTGAAATGGAACAAGGATGCAATCAATCTCTCTCAGGTGCTTTCTATGGAAGCAGGTCCCAAGGAGAACACTGGGGCAGGCCTCCTTTTGTCTTGTTGACTTTGCCTCTGTGGCTCAGAGCGAGTCCTTGTTTTGATGCTCAATGCATCTGTTAAAAATTGAAACCAGCAGGAAGGAGGACACACCAGGTACTTGGTCAAGGCCAGAGCAAGGTCAGTGTTATGGCTGTGGGGCTCAAACCAAAGGAAGTCAGTGCCTGGAGAATGTCATGTGCTTTGATCAGGGGCTTTGATCAATAGGAAATACTGGATCGTGCATGGCCAGGTAAGTGGAACAGGAGCCATGGAAGACAGTTGGGGATGCAGCTGGAATATCTAGGACTGAAGGCCTTACTGCATGTGACAGCAAATACGCCATTTGCTGCAATGTCCAATGTTGTGTTTAAATAGAATCCACTTGCTGAAAAGTTCAGTCAGCACTGAGTCTGCGGCGAGTAGTCAGGGCATATTAAATTTGGTTTTATTCTGTTTTAGACTTAAGGTTTTAATATGATACTGGTTAGTCAGTGGGGTGTTGCACTAGGACCTGGGACATTTGAGTTCTAGCCCCTACTAGGTGTTGTTGTATTTCAAAATTTAATGACCCCCCCTCTTTCAGCATCTATCATTACAGAAAGGAGAAATCAAGTAGCACGGGGACAATGGTACTAGGAAGGCAATGAAAAAACATTTGTAAAACATGCCCAAAGGGTTTCTACCAACCTGCTGCTCCATGTACTGGAGGATTATTCAGGGAGAAGACAGCTGCACAATTCATTGATAATGTTTTCCTCTTATGAAGCCTTTTTCATAAGATTCCAAATGATTTGTTGCTAATAGGAATGCATGTGTTGAAATGGTTCATTAAACTTTGTTGTCATTTATTGTATTCAACAAAATCAGCAGACAGACTGAATCAGTTGCATAAATTACATAGCAATGATACCGCCTGTAAGATCATCTTAGTAAAACAGACAATCTGCGAACAAAGGAGATGATTAACAAAGTATCTGGTTAATTAGTGTACTCAAGAAAAAATGAAAGACAACTGGAGTTGCTGATGTAGGAGTCCCAGAGGACTTGTCAAGCAACATTTGTTTATTATTGAGTCTAGGAAACTGTTTTGCAGTGCTAGCATGACAGTTTTAGGTACCAAAGTGGCAGGGTGTATTCTTTTTTCTGCAGTAGATAGCCCCTGTCTTCCCAGGCAGGTCAGTAACTCAAAACTGGTCAAGCTATTTTTATTTTATTTATTTCGATTTATATCCTGCCTTTTTCCTACAAAGAGCTCAAGGCAGCTTACATCATTCTCCTCCTCCATCTTAGCCCCACAACAACCCTGTGAGGTAGGTTGGGCTGAGAGTTTGTGACTGGCCCAAAGTCACCCAGTTGGCTCAATGGTCAAGCGGGGACTAGAACCCAGGTCATCTGAGTCCCAGTCCCATGCTCTTAACCACTACACCACACTGGCACTGGTTGGCACCAAAACCCCAAAAACTTTCTCCCCCTAAAAAAATCCAACAGCAGCACATTAAATAGCCACTTGCTGCCCTTTCATGAAATTCCAAACCAGCTCCCACAGGCAACTATTTCACTCTGCCTTATGGTAGGGAAGGACCAAAAGGTTGCAGGTGATGAAAGGGCATCTCCCACTGCTCCTGATGGAGCAGGCTAGCTTAGGGGGTGCAGGGCAGACCATGTGTTACGCTTAGTATACAGATTGGGCCTCAAGGAGACCTGGGTGCTGATCCTGGGGAAGAGATTGCCAAGGAATCAAGTCTGCAAGAGCAGGAGATGGATGAGAATGGCTATGAAAACCAACAAGGTCTTTCTGAAAGCATAGGAACATGGGCTTCTAGCAAAGGGTAGGAGGAAGAGATCCAATAGTTAAGCATCCATTGAAGAGGGACATGCAGGGCATCATAATAGGGTGTTCTAACTGACTTGCTGAGACATCCAAAGCCAGTATGGTTTCCTCAGCAAGGTTTGTTAATCATGCATAAGCCACCTTGTGCATACATGGTTTGTTGCTGGGTTGTTCAGGGTGGATCGTTGTCTAAGTGGCTTGTGACATAACACACCTGGCACAGTAGCTTGTGTGTGGCTTGTGAGACAGAACTACGGAGCCACCTGGCTAATGCAGTGAAAGACAGGGTCATTGCTTGCAATCTAGCTAACTATATTGCCTCTCAACTAGATTTTGAAATGATACTAATCAGGTTACCTCTCCACTTTATCACCCCCTTAGGCAGTGATAGCTTTCTTTCAGGGAGCCTTGCAAAAATCTTACTAATCACAACACTAAAGTCCAGCAGTTTGTTTGTTTTTTTAAGTGCAATTGATATGGATTGATTTATGTAAAATCTCTCTCTCCAAGGATGAAAAAATGTATTAAATTTGCACAGATCTGCCCAACAGTGAGAAAAATCTATGAAATAAATTCTATTCCATCAATGAGCTCTTTTGCACCTACTAGGAGAGGAACTGAGTGGGTTGCTGAGGTTGTGCTGCACTGGCTCATGGGTTACATGCCGGGCATGGGTAGAAGGACTGTGAAGGAGGCAAATCATGGCAAGCTGCGGAGCACCCGATCAGCTGTGGGTTAGAGAGTGAACGAACAACCCACCGTGGCGTACTTTCATGGTGCCTTGTTGTAACCTGTGGAGCTGCCCAGTGGCTCCTGTTCACACCTTTTGCTGTCTGTGGGGTCAGAGGAGACATGAATCTGAGCACTCCTGGCCGGTGGAGAACATGGTGTTGCCAAGTGCGGTGTGCTAACAATGGCTGGAAAGACAGTGCTGGGCTGAATCAGTCTCTGGTCTTCACCCAACAGGGCTTCTCTGATGTTCTTCTTTGCCCCCAGGCCCCTGAAGATCATAATGAATCTTACGCCCCGCTTCCAAGGCTTTTTAGAGGGTTATTGTTTCCCATTATGATCTGCTTTATTATTTTCCTTCTCTTCTGCCACTGCCTCGGTTGCTTAGCTCAGGGGTATCCCAAGATTCACAATAAAGCTCAGAGATTTTCTCTTGGATATATTGCAAGTCTAAAGGAGGAAAGGAAAGCCAACATACTTGATGATGTTCATTTTCACAGCATTTGTTGAGGATTATTTTTTAAAATCTCTCCATAGGCAGAAGTCTAGGTTCTTGAGAAGCAATCATGTCCAGTCTGAAAAATAGGCTGAAGGGGCAGTTCTCTTAACTAAACAGCAGCTCTCTTCTGGTCTCAGGGTTGGAACCAGCAGTTTTTATTCATTTCACTTAACTGGCTTCAGGTTGCATACTTTCTATGTCTTTTTCCAGGATGTGTTGGTGTCTGGGATAACATTACCTGCTGGTATCCTGCAGAAATCGGAGAAACTGTGACAGTCCCTTGTCCAAAGATCTTCAGCCACCTTGGCAACAAACCAGGTATATTTCAAATTCCTTTTCATACCTGAAGCCATGTTCTGTTTTTTTGAATCCTTGTGAATATCAGTAACAAGTTCAGGAGCTTATTTTGAATTTGTGGGCTGCAAAGCACATCCTGAAAGAAGTTTCCAATTGAATGGTTTGATTATTATTTGTAGATCTGTTTCTCAATCAGCATAAAACTGTCACTAGAGAAACCTGGCCTGCATGTCTTTTCTTTGCAAATATACAACTGTTAGGCTTCAAGTTTGCATCTAGGAAAAGTTCTGAATGATGACTATGAATGTATCTCTTTTATATTAGGTCTGTCTACCATGAAATCAGGCAAGACCAACACAATCTGTCAGCCTTTTAGGGTGGTCTGTGGGATCAGACAGTCCCTGCCCATGGATCCATCTCACTCCTGGGGCAGTGCGCAAAGGCGCACATTCACGTCCCACCACTGTGGAGAAAATGTGCTTGTGATGGCTCAGACATGGGCAACATGTGGCCCTCCAGATGTTACAGCTGACAGCCCTCACCACAGGCTGTGCTGCATGGGGCTAACAGGAGTTGAACCCCAAATATCTGAAGAGCTACAAGTTGCCCTGTTTTTGAGTCAAGTTCTCCAAGATGCTTATAGATAAGTAGACTTCTTAAAGGTTCATGTATTTTGCAGTGTTGGTCCTTATATGATTTTGGAAGGATAACAGGAAAGTCCTACAATTCGCCCTTTATTCTAGAATTTTTCCTCCTCTGTGTGCCTCCTCACATAATTAGACCATGCTTTTAAAAAGGCATTGCAAGCAAAATTGGAATTTGTTGTGTGTCAGAACTGCATTCATCCCTCTGGCTACTTATTCGTAACTGCAGGATCTGAAGCCTTTAATAACCTTGCTGTAGATCATTCAGTATTACTTTACTAATAGGCTAGCAGTAAGAGTATTTATAGAGACCATATTATTCAAATTACTTTCTCATCAAAGAAATTTAAACCCTTGAATTTGCCTACTCCAAGGCTAGAAGCTAGATCTGCCAAGTGCTTTTTAAATGTGGTGCAGATCTTTCCACTTACTGCTAAAAAACACAGTTACTTGCCATTTTTAAAAGTTTGATACTTCTCTGAGCTTTGGGGACCATGCCATGACTGAAAGCTGAACTGCCGGATCAGCACAGCACATTTTAAAGCATTAAAAACAGAGTTCTGACTTTGGCAAATGTAGGCTTCTGGGTTTTGTTTTGTATACTGTATACAAAAGACTTTGCTAAGGAAAATTGTTAGGCATTTATGGATTACTTTGCTATGTTTTTTGTTTGTTTTAGGAACTATCAACAAAAACTGTACAAGTAATGGTTGGTCAGATATATTTCCGGATTTCTTCTCTGCATGTGGGTACAAAGAGGTTGAGGATACCACGGTAAGACATGTAGTGGTGTAATTCAGAATGCACGGGACCTGCAAATTCTCAGTGCTGGCTCCAGGTCTTTGAGGGCAATGGAAGAGACATCCGCAGTACCCCACCCATCCACCGCTATTGGTATTGGATGCTCTTCCATCCACCACCACTGTTGTCTGGGGCCAGAATGGGAGGGAAGAGAGGAAGCAGGTTGCAGGGCTGAGAAGAAGGGGCAATCTAGGGGATTCATATCATTGGCCTTTTGATGGCTGTCCAGACGCGCCCGCCATTAACACCCCAAGCACCTTCTTTGCCATGTGCGATGTCTCCACTGCATGGATTAAAAGTACATACTATCATGGCACAACACGGCTAGATTTTATTATTTTCCCCTCCTAGTCATCCTGGTTATTTCAAGCTTGAAGCTGGTGATTACCAGTTAAAAATCAGAGTGAACATCTGTGCTGAAACCTTGGCCAGAACCACATCATCCCAGCTGGTACCTTCTGGAATGTGCTGATAGAGTTTTGGATGGTTTTACTTGAATTTGGAGGCGTGGGAACAGAACTGTTGGTGCTTTAAAACTGCCCTGTGGTGACCGCAGAGTCTTACCTTCTGCGTCCTTTATGGTGAGCTCTATAAGAGCTATTCATGGAGCTCCGTGGTGGCAAGTCTAGTATGGTGAAGCAGCTCAGCACCATGGATAGCTCCTGTGCAGCTCAGAACAAAAGCTGCCATGGATAAGGAGTTATCGGCCTTCTCTGCTCTTAATCATCAGAGTGAAAGTATTAGCAAACTTGTCTTACCAATGTGCTATTTCATTCCATTAGAAGATTAAAAAAACTCTGAGCATTGAAAATACCTCCCTCCCACACCTCTGTCGTTTCAATCTTCTTACCTCATCCTGTGAACTGTGCAAAATGGCTAGAATCCCAAATTAATGTCATACTACATGTGTTTGTACCTGTGACCCTTTGCTTAATATATCTTCAAGTGACCTTTTTGGCAGGAACTTGAGCCATGTGTTCTCTGGTGAGTGTTGACAACTATAATTAGCTCATCTCTGGTTCTTCTCATTTCGATCTGCCAAAGCCATTGTGCAGGCGCAAAATGCTTGTGCACCCTGTATATGTGGACAGACACTGGCTGTAGATCTTTCTGAACTTTTTAAAAATCCCTTTAAAAGGATATTTTTAAACACAGAGAGTCTTTAAAAAATAAAATAAAATCCTCTATGTGGATCTCAATAACTGAGGGAATTTAGAAAACTAAACAATGCAAAGTTCTTAAGGAAGCAGAAGGGATACATGCTGATTCTTCTAGCTGGCTGGCAATATTTATATTTACTCTGAGATATCTCTGATTGTGCAATATCTCTGAGATAGTACAGCTGTCAGGATAGAACAGGATCAGCATATTTGAACTAGGCTGGCCTATTCCAAGGTCCACATTTGCTTACTTGTCAGGCAAGGAGCAGTAAATGCCATTTCCTATTTGTTTAATGACTCCCTGCTTGACAAGTCGTCTCGTGGTCACAGAGGTGGAAGAGGAGGAGGGGGAGGAGCCACTGCAGCTGGCCACAATGGTGTTAGGAAAGTGGACGCAGGGAGGAAAGGGTGTGCCTTGCTATCTTGTCCAGGGGCTGTCCCAAAGCTGGAGCTGCAGCTCGAAATATCTGTAGTTTCATGAGAGCACTTCTGCTTTGTGGCGGATGTACTTCAGGTTGCACTGTGTGTCTTAGCAAAAGCTACAGCTTTAGTGGCATGCAACCCAAGCAGCCAGCATGCTCTGCTGCAGAAGTCCCAGCTGAAAAAATTAAAGCTCCCATTCATCCATATGTGTGGATGAGATTGTAGCCATATTGACTGGATGGACCTAAGATTGACTGGGGAATATGTTCAGGTAGCAGGTGCTTAGGTTTTGAGAGCTGGCAAGGCAGGGTCTCCTTTTCCCTATCTTGTGTTATTAAAAGTCAAACAGCAGCATGTCTTGACTCAGAGGCCATCATATGACCGCCATTTTGAGATGGAGCCAAGGGCAAGCAGAATGGGAACTGGACAGCCCTTCCAATACACCATGCCTTCAAAGATAGGACTGTCTTCTCTAAAGCAGGACTCATGGGGCAGAATGCAAAGGGGCACTTCTGTGCCCCCCTCCTCCACTGATTCTTTTCTACCCCACCAATTTGGCTGCCCTGATTGGCCCCTTGCCTATTTCAGAATGTCAGTTTAGCACTTCTGGGGAGATGATTGAAACCACTGCGGCTGACCAAGGCACGTGGACCCCTTTCGCATCTCTGTCAGTTTTGCTCTGGCTTGCCCAATCCCATTTTTTAGTATGCTTAATATTGTGATTAGCTAGGAGAGAGTGAAATGGAATATTTGATGATACATCCTTGCCTTCAAAATTGAAGTGCAAGAAGAATGAAAATGCTAATGAAGCATCCATTCCTGGAATAAATTTTTGCAAGCTTCTTATCTCTGAAACAAAGCAATAAAACTGTTTTTATTAAAAATTGTCCTTTTCATTACATAATGCAAACAAGTCTTCTAAAATATCATAGTGCAGAGTAGAGGGAATAGGTGGTGTTTGATTGCAGCCCCTGCTTATGTCTGGCAGAACATTTCTCTGATACTTGGCTTGCACTGAAACATTACTGTCTGGTCCAGAAAAAGGTATTACCCTAACATGACATGAATTTATTTTAATTAATATAATGGTATATTTAGTCATTTTATGATGGACATTTATGTTTCTTTCCCCCTTACACACACACTCACACACACACACGTGCACGCACACATCCCCACACACATTTTCATATTCCCATATGCAAAAACAGAGATGTCTTGATCAAAAATCTGGCATGTAACTAGATCTGACCTGGGTGAATATCAAGTTAATATTAAGATGCAAGCCAAACTAATTTGTGTTCTTTTTGTAGCTTACATGTTTCTACTACATTGGCCATGTCACCTTTTTAGCTCTCATTTTGGCAGTGGAGTTTGGTGGCTCCAGTATCATTGGGCGTTGTATCCACTCCGGGTTTTAGCCTAAACATTAAAGGTGTTAGCCATGGGCCTGAAGACTATCTCTGAAATAGTTGCAGCACCATGCGTAGCTTTTCAGTGTTCCATCCACACCCCAGAGGGGACACATGTGCATAAGACTGCACTTCAATTTAGCAGGAATCTATTTTTAGCAATTTAAAACCAAATAAAACATGGTCATATGCTGAAAGATGAAGCTAAAATGTGGAGTATAATTTACTATTGGGGAATGGGGAATTGTTAGGCAAAGTAATAGACTAAATAGGAACACATGGAGCAGGGCCTTAAGACCAGACAAAAGAGTATTTCTCTTACCCTATCATCAACATAGGTGCTATGAAACATTTTTCCCACTGAAAATAAAGGTCACCTGTTATTTTAGATTCTGTTTTAAAGGAAAGAAACTGTATTACTTGGGTGCCGGCTAAGAAAAATGTGAAATCTAGAGTTGGTTGGGGGCTTTTACTGTGCAGGCATCTTCTCACATGTCCCAGTGTTTCAAATTTAAGATTGCACGATTGCACAACCAGTGGTCCTGGAGTGGTCACAGACTTTCTCTTGGCTTGCCTCACTTTGCTGGGCAGGCTAAGCACGAAAGGAAGTCTGCAGATACTTGAGGGATGGATTCTGAAAGCGTTCGTCCCAGTCCTAATTATGGCAGCTACTTACTTGGCAGTTCTCATACGCACACATTTTAGAAGCTAGGCTGCTGAATTTGCAGCCTGGACCTCCATGATTTTCACAGTCATTTCAATTCAAAGGAAAAGGCCACCATGACAAGGGTCAACTCAGGTAGTGGCGATATGGTGGCATCCCAAGACTGGTGAAAGGCCAGTACCACCAACATGCTTACTTTGCATAGAGCACCCAAAACGGTCATGGGAGCTCAAGAAGCCACTTTGGACTTTTTATTTATTTATTTATTAAAACATTTTTATGCTGCCCCATTCGCCGAAGCCTCGGGGCGGCTTACAACAATTAGTTAAATAATTATAATTAAAAATATAAACATTAAAATAAAATACATACAATATAAAATAAGCCGCCCTGGCCAACTTGGTCCATCACATTAGGCCATGGTCCATCAAGCCCTGCATTGCTAACACTGACTGGCAGCAACTGTCTAAGGTTTCAGCTAGGATTCCTCCCTAGCAGCACCGGGAGATGCCAGGGATTGTACCAAGGATTTTCTGCCTAGAAAGCATGTGCTCAAACACAGAGCTGTCATAAACATCACACCACGCTACACTTGATCTTAGCCAAAAGACCGAGAAGCTGTCATAAATTCATAACATCAACAAAGCTATCCTGAGTACAGAAATGATGAGAGGAGACGTGATTGGTAAGTCCATTACTTCAGATGAAAAGGACCCACCAAGCCTGCCTTCTCAGGAACCCCCTAAAATCATGGAAGCAGCACTGTTAGTGTTGGGTCCAGTCATATGTAGAGTATGAAACCAGCAGGTCTTCTGCAGGTATGACTGAGTGGATCCAACACAGTGTGGAGGCTCCCTGGGGTGATTCGATGCATGCATCCCACATGCATGAAAGGCAAGGTGACCTGTGTCTTCTGTATGGTCCCACAGTCATTTACCTGCCAGAATAAGCCAGATCTGCATAGAAACAATTGATCGTACGAGTGTTCAAAAGCCGCATGCCCCTATAGCAGCCTTCCCCATCCTTGTGTTCTCCTTGGTTTGGACTGCAACCCCCAGAATTCCTGACCATTGGCCTAGCTTGCTGGGATAAATGGGAACTGAAGGCCAAAACTTCAGGAGGACTGCCCTACAGCAACAAAGGTTCTTTCCTAAATTGAGAGGTCAGGAGAATGTATACCTATGAAATGCAGCATGCACAGCTCCCTCTGGCTCTGCATTCAGCATCTTATGATGTTGCCCAGCACAGAATGGAAGCACCAGCTTGTGGAAACTCAGGCAGGCTGCAAGCACAGAACACCACAGCTTGGAAGCTCCAAAGCAGGTCCCCGGTTCAGACTCTGCCATCTCCTGGAAGGGTTTGAAAACTTCTGTCTGAAAACCCAGCGAGCAGCTGCCAGGTAGTGTTAAGGGCACCGGGCCGAATGCATCAAGGGCGTAAGGCAACTCGCTTGCTTGCTGTATGCTGCGCTTCCCATTTGGTGGTGAGAAGGGGAACGGACGAATGTGCAGCATCAGCTGGCAGGACTGGGTGTGCCTCGCTATGCATAAATTGTACTCCTTTGTCTTTCCTCGTGCTCTGCAATTATAAGGCAAGACAAAGATGTGGTGAATGATAGTCATCGTCCATCCCGTTGCAATGCAGTGCATTAAGGGGGTCATCCAATGAAATTGGCAGCCAGCTCTGGGCAGACAAAAGAACATTCTTCTTCAGACAACGCATGATTAATACGTGGAATGTTCTGCCACGAGATGTGATGGCGACTAGTTTGGAGGGCTTTAGAAGAGGATTAGACAAATAAATGGAAGGCCGGTCCAGTGATGGCTGCTAGCCAGGAGAGCTCTGTGAAAGCTGCAGAGGCCCTGGTATGCCGCTTTTGCTGGGAAGCACCAGCTACAGCAGCTCTGAGGCCTTTAAGCTCTGCATGAGCACCTCCTGGACACATGATGCAGCCAAAGCAGTGCCCCAGGGCTCCGATTTTTTGCAGGGGGTGGAATTGAAAATAGTTCCCTGGAGAGCAGGAGGTCATTGTTGATTCTGGTTGCGGCATCATCTCTCTTTTGTCTGAGAGATGCCAGGTGGGCATGTGCAGAGTTAGAGACATTCCGTCTATTTTATTTTATTATTTTAAAAATATGCTTCCCAATTCTACCACAAAACAGTGCTTCATCCAAGGCAAACGTGTTTTAACATCAGGGTAGCAGAGAAAAACTCCGATTTGGTTCCTATAGTTGTGCTCATACTCTGTTTTTGGCTAGTCTGAAATGTGAAACTTCATGTGCTCAGACTATTTCTCTGAAAAACAAAATTGGGATGGAGAAGCAGTTCTTTTCTCTCTTGGCTGTAGCCTATCAGGAATGAAGAAGCAGTTGTGCAGCTCAGCATTGGGTGGGAAAGAAAATATGCGAATTCTGTGCTTGGTAAGGAAATTTAGACATGTTGGCATGTGAAACAGGGGCCCTGTGAGGCCTTGGAGCATCCAGCCAAGCTATTTTGGTTGCATTACATTGGGGCTTTTGTGCTTCTAAAAAACAAGAGCCTCCATGGGGTAGTGGTCGAAGTGTTGGACTGGGGGCTCAGGAGAGCCAGGTTCCAGTCCCCACCAGCCTCACTGGATGACTTAGGGCCAATCACTCACTCTCAGCCTAACCCTCTTCCCAGGGCATTGTTGTGAGGCTAATACGGAGTGGAAGAAGTTATGTCAGCCACACTGTGTTCCTCACAAGAGGAAGAAAGGCAGTGTCTCCATCATCATCGAATGGAAACAGCCATTTCCCATATGAAGCAGGTCAAGGAGTCCCTTCCGCAGGCTTTGCTGACCTACCTGAAATTCTGTTCCTGGACAAACTGTTTGGTGGGAGGCAAGTTATGGGACTGGATGGACCTTCATCCTGACCCACCAGGCCTGTTCTTCTGTTCTTACCCTGTCATTTAATGTCCCTTGATACCAGGCAAATGCCATGCGTAGCTCTTTCCTGCGAGATGAATGTTAAATTCCAGTGAATCCAAGAGCTTCGTAGGCCCCGCAGCAACAAATTAACCTTTTGACTAACAACTTTTTTATCTTGTCAAACTAAAGTGAGAAATATGCTGTGAAGTGGAAAGAACACCCTGTCAAACAAAATGCAAGGAAGCCAACTTTAGCATACTATGGCCAGAAAGCATATTAATAGAAAACTGCATAGTCCCTCTTCTACATGACTGGATATTTATCAAAAAGTTTCTTTGGCTGAAATAAATGTTCTTGGGCTATATATGCAGTGAAGTCTTACATGCTTGGGAATGGCTTTGAGCTCATTTCCAAATCCCGAGGAAATAGGATGATGGCTGTTTCAGTTACTTGATAATTGCATTAATTACAGCATTGGCAGAAAAGTTGACTTTGCAAACCAGCCATCGATTTTCCTCTTGACCCTGGTAGCCACTCTCCACTAACCCATTGTCAGTACTTTGCACATCCTGAGCTGAGAAATAATCTGTTTGCTTGCAGGGCAACCAGCCTGACATGCTGTGAGGGCCCAAGGAAACTGACCCTGGCCACACGGTCTAATGGGCAGTATGTGTGGAGAGCAGGGAAGAGTCAACAGTAGGAGAAGGGAAAGACCATGTTAAGAAAGTGCCAGATAAGGGAGGAGGAAGACTGGGGAATATTTTGCTTGAACTTCTCCCTTTTGCTGCCTGGTCGCAAACTCACTCTGCTGGCAGATAGCTGCTTAATGTCGAGTGCAGTGACCATGGCACCAGAACAATATTGTAGAACCACAACTCCATGCTAATGCCGGCAGGGCAGTCATGCCTGTATTGCTGGCAGATGTGCTGGGCAAAATGTAAGTTGTATCAGCTAGGTCTTGTTTGGGGAATCTTCTTTTTCTTTTCCACTTAAACTGCAGGTCAGAGAACAACATCCCATTACACCTGCTGTTTTGATGAGTTCACAGATGCATGTTTGTCCCTCCTTGATTTCAGTAACGGATGATAACTGACATGCATGAAAAACAGCCATTCTAAATTGGAAGAGGTGTGATTTATTTTGAAAACTGAATTTGTAAAAGAGGTTCCTTTTTACTTCATATGACTGCTTCTGCCCATTACAACTTGCAAACAGATGCACAATCTTCCTCTGTGTGTGTGTGTGGGGGGGGTGGATCCCCATAGAAGGGCAGAGTGTATCCCTCCATTCAAACCATAAGTAGCCCTGAGCAAGGTTTCCAGTCACTTCTTTGGAGAAGAAGCCCATCCAGGCATCCTGCATAGAAGATGTGCCAAGATCCTGGCCCTGGTGGAGCTGCTGGGCATCTTGTGCATTCTTGCTGTGCATTGTTTAAAAGAATGCCACCGGTGGGTGTTCTGTGCGTGCTCTCATATGGTAACGGAGGAATGTGCATGGTCTCTCCATAGGTATTCTATGTTCTGGTGAAAGCAATATACACCCTCGGACACAGTGCGTCTCTCATTGCTTTGACTACAGGAAGCATTATTCTTTGCCTTTTTAGGTAAGTTTCCCCCAAAATGGGAGGGGATCCTGGGTGCTTTGGAATCGCAAGAAGAAGAATCCCAGTAATGGGTGCAAATAGGATATATTACAAAATAGAAATCCCACTTCTATTTAAAGACAGGTCATAAGGAAAATGTATATTAGCATCACATTACATTTATATCCCACCTTTTTCCTCTTGTGGGGAATCCAAGTAGCTCTGTTTTATCCCCAGAATAGCAACCCTGTGAGGTGGGTTGGGCTGAGAGTCAGTGACTGGCTCAAAGTCACCCAGTGAGCTTCATGGGCAAAAGGGAGCTAGAACCTGGATCTCCTGGACCCCTGGTCCAGCACCCATGCAGCCACACTACTTGGGCTGTCATTGACATACAGAGTTTTCAGAGTTTTACACCCTTTTGAACTATCAGCCATTGTTGCACAAGAGAGAGTAACACCAATTTTAAATGTGAAGGATTGCATATATGGCATGAGCAGAATTTGCCTGTCTCCTCTAGACCGAGCCTTTCGTGTTCCAGCATAAGAGGGTAGCCTTATCCACCACATCTGGCCTATTCAAAGCTTGAGGTGTTTTCTAACAAAATAAACCGTAAAACAGTTTTAAAATAGCAATCTCCTAAGCCATCATCACTACTATGTGTTCATGTTATTTATTTTATTTATGTATTGCTTTTTTGGCCAAGACAGTTTATAATTTTAAAATACGAAAAGAAATAGATGGTGCAAAAGATAGCATAACGGATAATAGAAGAACCACCATGCTGGATCGGACCAAACCAAGGCAATTAGGAAACCAAGGGAATAAGGGAGATAATTTTACAGACCTTCTAATGTATGGTGCATACCAGCCTTCCTCAACCTTGCATCTTCCAGACACGTTTGGCCTGCAACACCTGGAATTTCGAGTCAGTGGCCCTGCTGGATGGGAATTCTAGGAGTCCCAGTCCAAACTTCTCTGAAGGCCACTAGGTTGGGGAAGCCTGGGATAGACAAATGTGGAAGCTTTCCACACTTTCTTGCTGCTTTGATGTCAGGGCAAAGAATGTATGTTCAGATTCAGAACATAAGAAGCTCCATGCTAGACCAGACCAAATAGGGAGAAGAATCTCTTCTAGCCCAAGGACCAGGTTTTATTTGAGGGAAGCTCTTGGTGGACAGGGCCAAAGACAACAGGGCAAGTTCCAAAAGCCCAGCATGCTAAAAAAAAATATCAGTATAATCAGGAGAGACATTTAAACCTTTTAGAAAGGGAGGGAATGGCACAAAAGCCAGGAAATCACCAAAGGATTGCTGGCTGGGGCAAAGCAAGGGAGGGAACATGCTCCACAAAAGGCTAGATTCGTCCGCAGGCTTAAGGTGATGCACATCTGCTTTAAAGAGATGGGGGTCTCTAGATGACCTCTCAATGATTCTGTTCAGCCCAGTGGGTTAAAAAAAATCTGGGTAAGTGGGAGGCCAAAATGAATGTAAAAAGTTTAGCCCTAAGCATTCCAGTTGCCTCAGACCAACAGGTTCTTACTGGCCCGCCATCTAAAAGCATCCCTTTCCCCCTGCTTCCTCTCCACCGCCACATGGAAGGGCCAGTTGCCGTGGGAAACTGTTAGTCCTCAACAAACATCTTTAGGGTGCAACAGCCGCATAAAATCTGCATGGGTGAGCAGCATCTGTTGAAGTCAAACTGCTTGAATTCCTATTTATAGGAGGGGTTCTGAACCTAAAGGCAGCCTAGAAATACGTAAAATGAAGTAATCACAAGTGTCATGGGCCTTATAATCATAGACTTCCAAGAACTCATTCAAAGGAATTTGCACCCTTGGCGGGTGGTGCAGAATCCCTGAAACAACTTTCATGCTCAGCACTGGGATGCATGTGAAGAAGAATACACTGGAGAACTGGTCACAGGTTCCATAGCCTTTAGCATGTGGTCATCTTCAAACACACCTGAGAGACTGTAGGAGGTAGGAAGGAAAATTGCATGTTTTGCAAGAAAAAAGGAAAGAGAACAAGAAAAACCTTCCCATGGTTATAGGCTGTCCATTACAAGAGAAACTCTCTGCAGTATTATAACTGGGCAAGGAAGCAACCTGAAAGCAAGCAGAAGAATTTTTAACTGCTTTTCCATTTTATCACATGCAGGAAACTTCACTGCACTCGGAACTATATACATTTGAATTTGTTCCTGTCGTTCATTCTAAGAGCAATTTCTGTCTTAATTAAGGATGAAATCCTCTTTTCCAACACTAGCCCTGATCGCTGTGCAGAGGATCAATCATCCTTGGTAAGTAAACAAGTTGCCAGTCATTTAAGCATCCTTTTTGTGTGCACCTTTTTTGGTAACCGTGGGGTGAGCCAGTGAGCTGCATTTAGCATAATATAAGTGGGCCGCACTTGTGAAACAGGGCTTCCCTTTTCTTTCATCCTGGCAACCCCTTCGTGCCCTCCAGTCTACTCTAAGGGGTCCTCCTGCCCTCTGGATTACATTTGGGGGTATAGCAGGGCTGCAAGGGGAGGAAGAATCCGTTCCACTGGTGGAGAGACAACCCCTTCTGCTAGTGAGGGACATGATGTCCATCATAGCGTCCATCACTGGCACCCCTTTGAGAAGATGAGGGGCTGTGTGAACCAGTAATGTGGAAGGTGGCAAAGATGTGTTTATGTGTTAGCCAAAGATGCCAAGGGAGAGATCTAGTCAGGGTTCAGAACATTTATGCTTAGCAAGGACACACCTCAAGGAGATAGGAAGCTGACAATTAGGTGGTGGACAAGAGCATCCATGGCGATGATGAAACGAAGGGAAAAGGAGACATGAAAGCAGTTTGGCAAAAGGTAGATAAGAGATTGGGGATCAGAATTGGAACAGCCTGATCCAAGCTTATTCTGTGGATTTGTGCAATTTTCTGGAATCATTCTTTATCTGAAAACTTGAAAATGGATCAGTTCATCCCACCAACTTTGCAGCATTAGTGTGATTGTAAAACACCCTCTGCATTCAAAATTTGTAATAAATAAATGGTAATGAGGGCTTTAGAATTGGGGTTGCTTCAGTGTTATTCCTACAAACATGTTAATAGGATTCTTTGTTGACATAGCATTGTATTTAGTTTGTCCCATCTAATAAGACATTAAGACTGCAAAGGCTGTTACTTATCAGTAGAAATGCCTAAGATTGGACTGCAGGTGGAATACACAGTAGCTTGTTCATCAGAGCACACATTTTGCAAGGCTGAATATGTGGCAGCTCATGCAAAAGAGGTTCTAGGTGGCATTTTTGGAACTGATCGGTGGTGAGCTGCCACAAACTAATCAAAGTAGGAAACTCTTGGCTTGATAGCATGTTTAATACGGTATCTTGCATGCAAAGCTGGTACTAATGGTCTTCTAAGATGGAGGGTATGTCCATTCCTTTGTCAGTAATTGGTTTACTCAGTTCAATTTAGGCAATAAAAGCCAGTAATTCTGCAGTGGTACCTTTAGGGTGCAATCCTGTGTATGTTTAGACAGAAAAGAGGCCTACCAAGGCCCCAGACAGCTATTTTCATGCATAGGGTTGTGCGCTTAGTGACCTCACAGGTGCGCACTCATTTGTTTACATTATTTCTGGCGAATGCGTTTTCTAACTGTAAGTTTTGTCCCAAGTCCAAAAGAGCAGGTATCACTGCAATTAAAGTGGGATAAGTTCGTGTCTGCAATTTGGGCCTGGTGATGTAATATCTACAGCATGAAAAGTTGCTTGTATTGTTTCTGCTGACCCTTAGTTACATAACATGAGGGAAAAGAGCAGTTATGCATTCCACAGAGCTATTTTTTGCTACCGGCACAGCTGCCCTAAAATAAACTAGCTTTAGAAAGTGCTAGGCGCATGTTCCTGAAACCAAATTACTTCTGGTTAATTGGTGGTCCTGAGTATTGTCCCCCAGTACCAGATGAACCATTGGGTGGTAGTAGTATTATTCCTGAAATATTTTGACACGAAAAGTAAAAAAGAAAGTTTTGGTAAGAGGAATAACACTGCATGCCTGTGTATCGTGTGTATTTTGGAGAGAAGACATCTGCTATTCTTAGAGACCAGGCTGAGGATCACTTGGCATTTTGTTTTCAGTTAAAAAAAAATGTCCAAATTAAGTCCAAACAATAGAAAGAGGTGCTTTCAGGCTACCAGTAGACAAGTTCACAGAAGGAGAAATCTTGCATGTCACAGTGTGTATCTATCAAAGCAGATTTTCAACAAAGGAAGCCATTTACTGTGTTACAGCCATTTCTTTGCACAGACATTTCATCCTTGGTTTGTAACTTTCCAGGTCGGCTGCAAGGCTAGCTTGGTATTTTTCCAGTACTGTGTAATGGCCAACTTTTATTGGCTCTTAGTTGAAGGACTTTATCTCCACATCCTCCTCATGGTCATATTCTCTCCTAACAGACACTTCACTGTATATCTCCTAATTGGATGGGGTAAGAAAAGCCGTACAATTTCCTTTTTCTCTTTCTCCCTTCTATGCATTAAATGGAATCCTTGACTCTTAGGACCAGCCTTATGGTCTCAAGTGGTTGGACAGGCAGGCCCAGAATGCTTGTGGAGGAGATGTTGTGTTCCCAGAATAGCCCGGAACCCCTGGAAAGGACATGCAGAATTTCTGGAAATGAGAGAATCCCAGGGCAAGTTGAATCACTATTCATAGTGAACCACTATAATATCCAGTGTTCATTCTCCTTAGAGCAGATCTGTTGAACAGAGTGGTCCTTCAGGCAGTCTTGATTAATTAAACCCCCATTCATATCACTGGGCCTACTAACATAGGATATGTTACCCACTATTCCAAAGCCAATAACTGGGAAGCCATAACTCAGTGTTACAGTACATGTTTTACAGACAAAACGTCCCAAGTTTGGTTGCTTGCATTGCCAATTTTTTAAGAGTTCAGTGGCAAGTCTGAACTGCAGGAATAGAAGGCTGCTTGCTCCAAGGGTAGATAATACTAGAATAGATGGATTTGCATGCAAATAATGGTTTGTTTACTAACCACATTGGGGGTTAGTGCAAGGGCTGTACTACATGTTATACTAAATGTGCAATGTGCAGATAATCTTCACCTTTTTGTTTACCTGAGTGTGACCACATGGGGGGCACAGTGCATTACCGGACAGTTGGACACACAAATATGCACACAAGCTTCTGTTCCTTTCCAACACTGTGGGGGCTAACAAGAAGAAAGAAAGAAAAACCCTTCAGTGCCACCAGCAAAGATATTGGGCTGATGGATTTGGGAGGAGAAAGTGGCTAGGAGAGGATCAGGCTCCCAGAAGCTTACACTTAAAATAAGGATCCCCCACATGATTAGCACTGAGCAAATCATGCAGGCTGTAGTTCACTTCATAGTTCATTGTAGCTGCCACTGGCTCCAAGGAAACAGCAACATGTCTCTAGCTTGAGACACTGAGGTCTCATTAAAAAAAATATGGCTGTACAAAGTGTTGGTTTCTTGTTATTTTTACCCTCTGCTGGTCTAAGGGCAAGCGAGACATACCAGCAGAGAACGCAAGCTAGACACGCAGCAGCCTGGAAATCTTGAGGAGTTGTGTGAGGAAGGCGCAATTGGAGGGCAAAAATAGAGGGCAGAGAAGGGTCCTTAATTCCTTCCCTGCCCACCACTGCTTGACCTTGCTCCCCTCTCTTTGGTGGTTCTTTATTCCTGGCCACCTCTGGGAACTCTGAGGTGGCCAGGAAAAAAGCTGTTCTGCTCAGTGTCTAGTTTGCTTGGCCCTAAGTCACTGAAATCCCACATCCCATCTTAGGTGAGCCTCTTTCTTAGCGCCTTCCTTACAGTCAGTCTTCACACTGTGCTTTGCATTCTGAATGTGATGTATTGCCCAGGTGATATTCCCCAAGTCATATATTTTATGATGTCTTTTTCTCCACTCTTTTCTCTGTCATGTCTTATTCTTCCAGGCATCCCTACCATTTTCATCATCATGTGGATAGTATCCAAGGTCTATTTAGAGGACACTGGGTAAGTGCCAAAAGGGGGGAAACTTCATACTTCCAGGTCCTGCTATAAAAGGTGGGGCCACAGCATGGAGAGACGGTTAGATCTCTTGCACTTTCTAGACACAACAAGGAAGATTCTTCCTGTAGTTTGGTGGTGGCCGTCAGCTGTGGATTGCTCTCTGCAGTGAGCTTTGCCTGGCACCCAGATAGTCATCTTTTCAGTGCAAGGAGAAGACTTCCCTCAGCTCCCAGGCATATGAGACAGCTTCTTAATTTCAGTATTTTATTGGATCTTGGTAATTCATAGTTAATTTTTATCACTTTTCTTAAATCGTGTTTTATTCATTTGCAGCCAGTGTGGATGGTCAGTTTATGTTGTATGCCATCCAGAGACACAAGTAATTGGACAGCATACAAATTTTATAAATAAATGAATAAATTTATTTTTGTATGTCTTAACTGCTGTTGTTAAGACAGCTTGACTTTTTTCTAAAGTGTCTGATAAATTTAATAAATGCATAGTTACAATAATTAAAGAGCACTGATGATACGTTATCCAGTGCAGTGCCTCTCTTGTCTCTACCGCACAACCACTACCTTGATGGAACCCCCTTTTTTGAGGAAGGGAAGTAGCTCAAGGAGGGACTTTCATCGCTTCAGGTTACATATGAACCTGGGCCGCATGATGATACTTCCCAGGGCAGGCTCAAGGAATTTTGTTGCCTGAAGCAGAAGGGCAAATGTAGCCCCCAAATCCAAACCTAAGTACATAGTGCTTAAAGTCAGTCAGGTTACTTTAGTGCATGAGGCAGAAAATCCTACAAACTCCCTTCCCTGTAGCTGGTAGTAAAAATGGCACAAGAGAACTAAATAGCTAACATAAACGGATGGAATTAGGGCCTAAAACATCTGGAGATCACCAAGGTGGGGAAGTCTTTGTTACAATATTGTGTTCAGCTTTAGCTATTGGGCAGTACAGAACCGTAGTAAACAAATAAGCACACAGTTAACATGGTTAACAAAAATATAGAAAAAAATCCTGCAATTCCCAGCATTCCCTAGCTAGTTGTAGGACTTTTTCTAGCTAGGGAAAAGCAGTGGGGAGTAGTGGGAACTTTTTATTCCTTGTGTTGGGCATGCCTACAATGCCAAATAAATAAAGTGACCTTTGTGTTGACTTGGGAAGAGCAAATGAGTATCTACTTTTACCTAGATATTAAATGTTATTCTATTTTAGTTTCTCTTTCCTAATTTGCTTGGCATTTTCACTAGGCTTAAATGTGCATGCTGAACTTAATGCCTGGAGACATAATCCATAAGTGTGTTGAATTTACTGATTATATTTTCTTGCCTGGTTGAATTCATACTAATGTTCTTTTTTCCCTCCTTCTGAACAGTTGCTGGGAGATTTCTGAAGAGAATGTTCCTTGGTGGATCATAAGAGTACCAATCCTAATTTCCATTTTTGTAAGTAAACTCAACATTGGACATGTGTTTCATGTTACTACTACACTGTAATTTTCATCCCTTTAAATTTTAGCCTGAAGTGTGAATCAAGGCAAATTGTTCTTATCATCATTCACCATTAATTAATTTTATTTATAACCCGTCTTTCACTCAGAGGATTCTCCAAAGGAGTGAATAATCTAAAAAGTGGTGGTATAGAAATGAAAATAATAATATGGTGGATGATGTTCTGAGGCAAAGTAGGTAGAACAACATGTGTCTTTCTTAGGGCTGGCGTCCATGGTAGGTGTGGTTCACCACCAGATACCAAGGGGGGTCCACGAACAAAGCCCCTGGACCTGCTCCTCTGCCTCGCCGTTGCCACCTGCTTGTTTGCCTGCCCCTTGCTCTGGCCCAGGTGGCAGTGGTGGGAAGAAAGAGGAGCACCAGATCTGTGGCCTATTTGCAAGCAAGAAGGCAATGATGAGAAAGGGGGTGGGAGCAACAGCAGCAGGTGGCAACGGTTCTGAGAAGCTCAACTCCCTGAGAGTTGAGGCCTACAGAGAGTATCCCGCCCTCAAAAACCCAACACTGGTGCTCTCTCCCCTTGCAGAAACACTGTTTGTAGGAACCATTAGCAATACACAGAGCTTCTCTATGTCAACCACTGATGTTTGTGAGATCCATCTCATGACACTTGTTTTAAAGTTATTCTGATATACCACTTTCAGCATAATTATGTGGCACAGCCTTGTTAGACAGCAGATAAGGGACATGGCCTTTGAAGATGTGTTTCAAAGTTTATTTTATTTTTAGTCATCTTTTTATAGATCACAGATAGTATCTTTTTAAGCATATAAAAGTAAACACCTTCCATGGTATGCTAAACAATAAGCAACAAAGGGCAAATAATTTGCAGAAGTGCTGGAGGGTCAGGCTATTCAGAAAGTGTGTGTGTTAACCCTGTAAATGTTGCTTCTTCATCGCAGATGGTGCAGTAGTTGGGTTTGTATACTTAGTAGTTAGGCCTCGGTGAACTCGAAGCTCAAATCAGCCTTGATGATAAAAGGGGAATAGATGCATTTATCATACTGAAGAGCAGCCAGAGCAATTCTCTGCTTGTTTCTCGTGGTAAAAAAGAAAAACCGACAACAGCAGCAAAGTGATGTGACATTGTGGTAATGTGCCATTCAATGGTCACAGCTTGATGGCCGCAACACTAAGCATGCTTAAAGAGAAAATTGTGCCACATTTCCTAGCATTCCCCAGCCAGCCAGGTATAGGATATTTTTCTGTCTCAACAGGCAGAAAACATACATTTGTCTCACATGATGTATGTTCAGCATCTTTGGCCAACCTGTTGCACAGGTGCCTCACAGGGACCAGACCATGTGGTTTTTCTTCTCTCATGCTTCAGAAAACTCCCAGACTTGGCTGTGAAACAGGATCTGGCCTCCATGGCTGCTTGTCTCGTCTGTTCCACACCACTGTCAGCAAAAGCACAAGGCACGAGGGTCCTGAAGGTCCCATGCCCCAAATCTATGCCCGGGGGCCAGGATCTTTCACAGAGCTGCAGGCGTTCCTTTCCCTCAGTCCAATTGCTGTGCACGGGACAATTTCAAGAGGGTTTTCCAGTGGAAAGGGGAAGGGTCACCTCTTTTCTTTCCACAGGCTGCAGCAGCACTGCCCTGCACCCAGAATCTTCCCCTGTATGGCAATCAAGCTGAGTAGGACCGGCTCTGCCATGGTGCAGAGTAAGGCAGTCATCTCACGCAGCAAATTTTGAGCATCATAAAAGGGTGGCAGATTGTTAACGGTTTGCCTCGGTGTCACAGAGTGGGAGCGGTACTTCTAGAGTTTTCTGCCACATGTGCCACAATAAGTCAGCTAACTTTAGGTTGCAGGCACCGTGACGTGAGTGACTGGGAGGTACCATCCACTGCTTTGCCTCCCGCAGAGCCAACCTTACAGTGTATTGATGGGGGATCATTGCCTTGCAATGAGCAGGGGCAGGATGCAAATGGACTGAAGGATTTGTTTTTGTTGATATGATTTGGAGGAGTAATTAATTGGCTGGCCTCCCCCTCCCCCAACCCACCCCTGCTTCATGTAATTGAGGTAAATCCTTTTTCAATCCTTTTATTTTATTTTTAAATATTCATTTATAGAACTAAATTGGCATAACAGATTATATGCAGATTTGTGCCAGGGCCATGAATCCTTTAAGTGCCTTCCAATGCTAATGCAAAGAACGTGTTAAATTAAAGCTTTAATTAAAGTAAGCTTTAATTTGATCTCCACGTTTCACTGGCTAACAATGACTTAAACATGCTGTGTGAAACCATATTTAAATGCCTGTGCATATGCTGTCCTTTAGTAATGCTATCAGACTGAGCTGTTTGCCTCTGATGTTACAAACAGCTCCCACCATCAGTTTTTGTAGCATTCTGGCTTCAGAAGAAACTTCTTCTTTGGCGAGCTTTGGTATTTCATGCTGTGCATGTACTTCACAGCTTACTCTGATTTTTTTTTTAAATTGGAGATATCCTACATGAAACTCTTTTCTCGGAGCAATCGTCTTTCTTTCGTTATTCTCTGTTTCCATGAAAGTGTTGTTTTAGGCTAGCAAAAACCTGAATTGGAAGGACACGGGGCCCTTGCAAAATTACATTATAAATGGCTAATTTCTCATTTTCCTACCCTGTCTTTGCACTGAAGCAGTTTATGCCAAGCTGATGTAGTTGCAGTAGTAAAAGGATTAGACTTAGAGTGTGGATTACCACAGGCCAACCGTTGCTTAGTCACAAAGTGTACTGGGTGGCTTTAGACGAAGTATTATGCACCAGCCTATCCTGAGGCAGAGCAGATTTTGAGTGTCATGAAGAGGCAAAAGGAGTGTTAGTTTTTCGGGACATAATCCTACACATTTAGACAGAAAAAAGTCCTGCAACTAATGCTGCGCCCCAGCCACTTGGACCTTGTTTAACTTTTCCTTTAACATGTCCAACATGTATAGGACAGAGTTCTAAAGGTGAAATCCTATAGATGCATGGAAGCCCCCAAAGTCAGAGGACAAATAAAGCACCAGGAAAGGAAAGAATTGCATCCTTAATGCATTATTATTGGAATATACTACATTAGTAGAACCTCAGGTACCAAAATATTGTGGCTGGCCTTGGGTGCATCTTTTCTTGGGCTTCCTCTACTAAAAGCCTAACCTCTGAAAATAATACTGACATGAATGTCATACATGCCACCCTGGAGGAATGATTGGATAAATACTTAATAAATACATAATAGTAATGAATAAACAATACAAAGCCAATTTGTCTGTTGAGGGCAAACTAAGACTCTTGTTTAACTTGCCCAGGCTTCTGAGGAACAGTGGTGGTGAGCTAGTACCATTTCCTTTGTGTTGTGTTTCTTTTATTGCCTGTTGTTCTGCAAAAAGTTGGGATGCTTCTGCTTCCCCTATGCATTGACTACTGTTCTTAAGTGTTGCATTCAAAGTCAACATGAACATATTTAGATTTAAGCCCAGGATATAAATAGGTACATTTTTTTAGAAAGTGTGAAACCAAACCATAAAATTCAATTCATAAAATTTTAAAACAGAAAAGCCATCTAGTATTTCTTCCCTCCACTCAGAGCCTAAGCAGAGTAAAACTGTTTCAATACATTTCCTAAAACTGACTCAACTGTGCTGGAGAAATGGAAGTTTCCTAAAAGCTTGAAGAAGGAAGGGGACTTCCTGAGGAAAAGTACAAAAAAGCCCCTGCTGTTAGTGGTGATTCTGTACCTGGCTTTCCTGGGAATGAGCACCACTAAACTGAAAGGGACCTAATTCTGAGTAGACATAGATGAGAATGAACTGTAAAAGGTGCAGGTCTTTCCTCTACAATTTGGCCCTTTGAACACAAATAAGGCTTGCCTCTGATTAAAGCAGGCAAGGGAAATACGGCCTGTTGAAACAGTGAGACCTACTTCTGAGTATATATATGTAAGATTCCCCAGCAAGGTGTTTTATTATCCCTGTCGTAATGAAAACAAAATGTGGATTGCTTGGGTAACAAGCAGGAAATGAATGTGTGGGATTATTAATCTCCATGATGTCCATGTTGGTTGTTTTGTAGGTGAATTTTATACTTTTCATTAGCATTATAAGGATTTTGCTACAGAAGTTGAGATCACCAGATGTTGGTGGCAATGACCAGTGCCAGTACAAGTAAGTGAAACTCTACTGCAATCTCTGTATGTCACTTTTTTGGGGGGGTGTCCTATATCAGGAGAATATGAATTGGGGGCAGTGAAGGAAGCCTTTAAGTTTTGATCCATCCTAACTAGGTGTTTGTGTTTATGTGTGCGTGTTTTTAGGAGACTTGCAAAATCAACATTGCTTCTTATTCCACTGTTTGGAGTCCACTACATGATCTTTGCTGTCTTTCCTATTCCCATTTCTGATAACTACCAGATCATTTTTGAGCTGTGTCTGGGATCTTTTCAGGTAACATCCTTCCAATTTTTTTTCACATTTTAATATATTTACAACTGATATAGTTTCTTATTAGGGTTTAGCTCATTTATATTTTCCACTTACAGGGCCTGGTTGTTGCAGTCCTGTATTGCTTCCTGAACAGTGAAGTAAGCCTATTTTTATTTTATTGTGATAATGTTATGGAAAAGGGCTGTGAGTTGGTGATAAAACATGGGATGCTCTGAAAATGCACTCTATTTTCTCTGGCAATTCTGTTGTGTCTTGGGCAGCTGACTTTATTGGAAATTTTGGTTGTCTTGATTTTTGTTGGTTATCCCTGTTTTCATGGATCATATTGAATGTGCATTTATTGATATTTATAGTATCCATTTTGCAAGGTTTATTCTTGTACTGTGCCTTGGAAGGGTTTTGCCTTAAAGGCAGCTCAAAACTATTTTTAAATAAATGAATAAAATGTTTTGCACGTAGAATGCTCCAGGCTTAGTCTCTGGCATTTCATATATGAAAAATTGAGGAGCCACTGACACTCAGTGTGAGCAGCTGAAAGGATTGTTTGTCTGATTCAAGGTAAGGCATCTTCCTGGGTCCCGTGCTCCACGTATCTGGTGTGGCAGGAGACCCAGGGGATAGCCCAGAGATGGGGAACCCCAGGCACAGGGGCAAATCTTCAAGTTACGGAGCAGCATAGAAATGGATTAAATGAAGAGATAAATCTGGCGCCCATGCTTCCCTAGACGGCTCTGCTCCCTTCCTCCCACCACCAGACGTTTGCTGGCTTCCCGGCTTGCTTTCTTCCCATTCTGAAAATCTGAAATGCTTCTCCTAACGCTTAATTAGAGCTTTTAGCAATAAGAGCTTTTAGCTAAAATATGTTGGTGGTTTGACCTTGTTCCTTTTCTCCCCGGAATGAATTCCATTTCATCCCTGGAATGCGTTCATCTTGAAATGCTTCTCTGAAGTGGAATTCAGCCCGTGGGATGAAAGGTTAGCCACTGCTCTCTGTTGGCTAAGGGGGCTCAGCAGAAGGGGCTTTTCTGGCTGTTCTCCAGGAGTTGTCCCTGCCCATTCCCCATCCTATTCGATGTGTCCAACATCCCCCCAAACCTGTTCGGAGTCCTGACCCACTACCAGCATCTGAGTGCAACTTTAAAGGACGGTGGGGAAGGGGCTGTTTTAGAACCCCCTCCGAATCCACTGCTGGCTCCACAAAACGAAGGTGGCTGCATGGCTGCTACGTAAAAAGGCACTTGGAGTTTGTACATCTTGTTTCTCAGCAGAATCACTGAGAATCTGGAAACACTGCAAAGATGCCCGGGGGGGCGGGGTACATTCAGCCCTGCACTGCCCATCCCTGCACTATCGATATGTAAAATATCTCTTCCGCAAAACAAAATATGAAACACAGTGCTCGTATGTTAAGAAATTGTGTAGAAAAAAGCACATTGTTGATATTTGTGAGTTCTCGATTCAGTTTCTTCCAACCTTTATCTCCTATGAGGTACAGTTCTCATGATGCACACACATTGGTAATAATTTGCCTGATGCTTTGCTTTATGTTTAGGTACAAAGCGAAGTGAAGCGAAAGTGGTGGAGCTGGTGTTTAAACCAAAGAATGGGCCGAGATTACAGACTTCACAGCTCTTATATCTCTCGAAACGGCTCAGAAAGCATCTCTCAGTTGCATCGTAATTCAGCAACCCAGTTTTCTCTGCAGACGGAAAACACAGTGATATGAACCACCTGGTTGCCTGCAAAGACTCTGGGACATATTCCTGTGTGTGTAGCTCAGTCCATGTCATGTTTTCTAACTTTTTAAAATTACTTTTTATTATGAAAAAGTCAACAAACTGAAACAAAACTGTAAGGAGGAAAAGGGGGAAAATGAAAATGTGCATAGAAAACATGCACGTGCAATATGTATGAAAATACAGCCTTCTAAGAATTGCACATCAACTTCAACAAAGGCAGACCAGATGTCCATTGATATATCCATTCACAATTGGGGTCTAAATTTTCTAACTTTTTCAGCAGCCTTCCCCAACTTAGTGCCTCCCAGATGTGTTGGGCTCCAATTCATGCTAAGGCAGCAGGTTGGAAAAGGCTTTTGTGGACTTTGGAACCTCTTTTGTCAACATGTCAAAATGCAGGGAACATATGAAGTATCCCTGGAATATATGAAGTGCTGTATTTTACTGCAGTTTTATTGGTAGTGTCCATTTAGAAGTGTTGACCCCTGTCAAGTCTCAAAACAATTGAGATTTCTATGGTTAAGAACATAAGAAGGGTGGATCAGATGAAAGTGTCAAGTCATTCAGCATCTTGTTTCCCACAGTGGCTAATTGGATGTCTCTTGGAAATCACAACAAGAGATGGAATCAAGAACCCTCCTTCCTTGCTGCTTGCAAAAACTGGACAATCCAAAAGCTTGCTGTCTCGGAACCTGGAGTCTGCACAGCACCCTGCCATGAATAGAAATCTGCCAAAAAGCTGTCTAATCCCCTTTAAAGTTATCCCATACGGGCCGTCACATCTTGGGCCAGTGAATTCCATGGTTTATTACATGTTGTGTGAAGACGTACTTCATGCTATACAGTATCTCCAAATTATTCCTAGTCTGTGTCCGCCATGCTTTTCCACCTGTCGCTTTCCCAGAGGTCATGATATCAGCCCACAGTGGCTGCCACACATCAGCCTGGACCTTAGTTGCCTTCCCCAGAGAACAGCCTCGCAAGATGTTGGTCCAGCCCTAGCAAGCCCCATGAAAGTGAGCTTCAAAGTGCAAAGACCGTTCTAAAACTTTGTGAAATCAAGGAAGCTCATGCGTAGACCTGATAAGACTATGGGGGGGGGCGACCCAAAAATACCCCAAAATTATCTTCTGCAAGGTGGGCCATTGTAATACAGACTTCTCCCACTAGGTGAGTGTTCTAGGAAACCAAAGTTTTTCTATGGAAGTTTTGAGAAGGTTGCATCATGATTTGCAGAAGGATTTACATCCTGAGTTGTAGCAAAGAGGTGACTGGTTCTTCCACCATGACAACCCAGCTACCCATGTGGCACTGAGTGTCCAGCAGTTTTTGGCCAAAAATGGCATGACCCCTGTGCCCCACACTCCCTATTCACCCATTCTCACCCCATGCGACTTTTTTTTTTTGTTTTCCCGGTTGAAAAGGGCCCTCAACAGGAGATGTTTTGCTGATGTGGAAGAGGTGGAACAAAAAAAACGGCACAAGCACTAAAAGGCATCAAAATCAACACATTCAAACCTGTTTTGAGCAGTGGGAAAAAAGTCTCAATAGGTGTATTGCATCAAACGGAGAGTACGTTGAAGGTGACTGAAATTTGAACATGTAAAAATAAAATCATATTTTTTTATAAATTCCGGGGGGCTTTTTGAGTCTCCCCTCATACATGGCTAAGATGGCAGATCTGCTGATATACGTGGAAGCTTGGTTTGACCAGCGGTACAGGTTGCTCTCAGAATCTACCTTCTGCAAGAGGAAAAGTTCTGCTGGCAGAAGGTCCCTCCACCCAGTTTTGGGGACCTTGCCTCTCCCATGCACAACAGTGCGCCTCGTCGAACGGGATCTTCTGACTGTCTAGATAGGCAAGGGTGGGGAAGTCTACTTCCTCCAGCCCAGTTGATCCAACATAAATCTGTGGCCCAACCCAAAATCAGTTGCAGAATTCTAAGTGTGTTAACAAAGAATTTGATTGCTTTTTTTTGTATGTGAGAATCTTCGTTCGTATCATACACTGGACTATTGTTCTTTGTGCTTGCTGTTTAGTTTCTAACCCTGTTCATTGATTGCTGTATTGCAGTTTCTGTTTGCAATTGCTTTGCCATCATGATTGCATTTTCCCCCTGAACAACTCAGCAGTAGAGGTAATTCTTAGGACCATTTCACAAAAGGAGGGTTGACTCAGTCTGAGGTCATGTGAGTCTGGAACCTAGTTTGGTTTTGAGAAACAAGCTAAAGGAGGAGGGATAAGCCACACTCAAACAGGATGTACTGCCTCAACATACACCTACCAAAACAAAATTTATATTATTTTAATTTTAATTTATATTATTTTAATTGAAGTTATTTATGTTGTGAGCTGCCCCGAGGCTTCGGCGAATGGGGTGGCATAGAACTTTTCTAAATAACTAACTAACTAAATAAATAAAATACATAAACTATCCAAACACAAAAAACATGTGGAGCTGCCCATCCCCTGCCCAGCTTCACTTATGTGCAAGTTGCCAGAGAGTTGAGATTGGCTGCAATGTGTTCTTGGAAAATAAACAGGGAGGCTGATAGGCTGCAGAATGACCTGCTACCTCCTCTTCCCTTTGCAGAAGGAAAGAGCCCCCTGAGGCATTCTGGGAAAATAGAACCAGTAGTTGACGGTAGCCCATAGTATGTTTTGAAGGGTGCCTTCTTTGAAATAAGCGATGAAGTGCAGAATGTGGGTTCAGGAGAATGCCTGTATGCCTTGGAGCGCCAGCCCCTCCTCTGCCTGGTCCTTTGGCTCTAGGCCTAGCTAGTTCTCTTTTCACTTCTCCAGGTTGCCCTTCTGGGAGATGGGGTTCGGCAACTGGCCACGCCTACCACAGCAGCGAATTTGTAAATGCGAAGCCCCTTCGTGACAGGCATTTTGTGAGAGTGCCCACGACATGCTCTCAAAATGACAAATGTCCCCACTATCCCAAAGGGGTTTTTTCTTTCTTTTTTGTTTGGAGGAGGCGTTATACAAACTGGGACATATCTTAAGAAAATGGTAGTGCTGTTTTTCCCAGTAGGTTATGGAACTCCGTGGTTTGTTAATAGGTTATCATGTGGATTAAGAAGACCCCAAACTCTGCCATACCTTGCCTGAGTATGTTTTCAGTTACCTCTTAAATGCCCATGTATTCTACTAAGTCTTTTCCAGCCCCTTCAGGAACTCACCCTTAAACCCTTGAGAAAGTGTGGGAGAGAGCGGTGCTTGCTTGTTAACCCACCATCCCTGGGCAGCTCTCCACCATCCATGAACTGATGTGGGGGAGGGCAGCTGAAGAGGCACTCCGCTCCATGCATGTCAGGTCCCCCCATGGTCCACAGCCCAGATGGTTCAGGGTGCTAAATTACAGCTCCCCTCTGCAGAGCTCCCCTGCCCAACATGTGGCACAAGCATGGGAGTAAATCCAGCTGGCGCGGTGCCCCCATTCATGCATGGGTGATCACCCACAGGGAGCCTGGATGTGAGGCAGAATCCCAGTGAAGAAAAATCTGGGAAGAAATGGATTGGTGGATCAGCCGCTCATCAAGAACGATGTTTTAAGTTCTCAGACTGGACTATTCCTTCACTGCATGATTGACTCTAGAATAAGAGTATAAAGAAAAATAGTCATGTTTTGAATGACCAAACTGGCCTTTGGTAACATTTCCTTGACTCTACAATTCTAATATGGTCACTTGCAGATTTTCACAAATGTTTTGATACTTATGGGTTGTGTGCAACCATATGATGTCTCTTCATATATTTTATCTCTTCTCAAGGCTTGTGTATTCCCATGTTTAATTTTGGTGGATGTGTGCCTTGATGGAGAGGGAGAACTTTCATAAAACTGTGTAGCATTTAGGTAGTGCTTTGAAGAGTCCAGAGCACAGTCTTTTCTCAGTGGTCTTTACAACAACCCAGGGCAGTGTCAAAATTCTCATATTGCAGATGGTAGAGAATGAGGCAGGGAAATGTTGGTCTAAGTCCAAGTGGTGTATTTATGGTGAAGACAAGTTTTCAAGCAGGATCTTCTCAGTACCCAACTCATTCCTTCCATTCCAATTTTATGCATGTTTACTTGGAAGTAAGACCCATTCACGGAAGTGCAGATTTAGGGTGCCATCCAGTGTGGATTGGAGAATTAGGCACATCCAATGGAAGATATCAGGAGCATAGTAATCAAGAGGACACTTTTTGGCAATATTTGGCGTTTAGCTTGGCTCACAAGGAAGAAGGATGGGATACTTCCAGGATTCCTTGTATCCTGGTAGAGAGTCACTGTTTCCCTTCTTGCACCCCCACCAGCAATGGCTCTGAAGATGCACTTGTGACTTCAGAATCACAGCCAGAGTTGTGCTGGCTGTGAGGGTGGAAAGAGAGCACTCCAGCTTCCGAGCCCCAGCGCCAACCTTTTCTGAAAAGGTGCTTTTCTGAAATTGGAGCTGGGAGCTCCAGGTTTTCCTATGCCCTATTCAGACAATGTGGGATGTGTAGGAGAGCCCCCTTAAAGCACTACAACACACTGGTAACTGTATGTGCAGAGTTATTTTCAGTTCATGGGTAGTGCCAACCCAACTCTGAAATATCTTGCAGTTAGCATGGTTTCCAGATAAAAGAATGAAACGATCACAAGTCTTTTTATGAATTCTGTGATCCAAGTGGGCTTTTGGTTCATATTCATTGTGTTTTGTGACTTTTCCCTCAATTCACGTAACAGCTCTTCCAACGTACTTTGAACATCATGTACTGCTTCCAGAATGTGTTACGTCCACTGTGCAGTTCTTCATTCCTTTGTAAAGAGTAGAATAAGAGGGTGAAGAGGATTTTGAAAAAATTAGAACATCGTAATAGAGAATGGTGAATAGAGCATAAATTCTGAAGGCCGTATTAGGTGTTGGAGAAATGCATCATTTGATAAGAGGAGGGCAGGGGTGGACAAATATGGTCTTTGAGCAGAGCGAAGAACTATGAGTTCCTCCCAGTTTTAGAAAACTAACTGCTTAAGATCCTCCACAGTAACTACTATATAAATGTTTTAATTCTCTCAAAAAGAGAATAAAACATTTTATTTAGAGTAGCTGGTTGGGTTAGGTTGGGCTCGGTTGGATTGAGGAACAACAGTTCAGTGGTAGAGTGCTGGATTTTCCTGTGGAAGGTTCCAGGTTCAATCCAGAATTTCCTGGTAGGATTAAAAAAGAATCCTTCCTGAAATCCTAGAGAATTGGGACCCATAAGTGTTGATGCTCCTGGGCTAAGTGGACCAATGATCTGTTCTGTTCCATGCATTCACCAAAATTAAAATTTTTGACCATGCACCTAAAAGGATATAGATTTAGAGGACGGGCTTTTCTTGTGTTGATGTATTTCCTGGACGGTGGGTCTTGCACTGATGGTCACAGGGTGCAACAAGGTCTAAGGCTGCTGTTAACTGGGGCCCTGAGGCCCCCTCCTTCAGCTGTTGAGCTCCTCCCACCGGTATTTCTGAGACTCGGGGTGGCAGCAATCGCCCCAAGCACTTCTTGTCTCTGACTGGCAGCTGCTCCGGCCTGTCACAGCAACTGTGTCACAAGCACATCTGGTGGCCCCTGGGATGCCCAAGTTTTGCTGAGGCTTAACCTTCTATAATGGCTGGCCAGGGGTTGGGTAGAATCAACCGCAGTAGAATCAACCACCCCACGCGGTAGCTTTCCTAGCCGTGCTTTGTATCTTGTTTTATTTCTTCCTTTTTCAAAGCTCATCAGCTGGAAGCACTAAAATAACTTTAAAAAGGGATGTGGTTCAACCTTAACACTTTACCAAACACAAATAGCCTTCCTTGCAAAGGAGCTGGTTGATGGCATGCGCAAGATCAGCCTCCCAGAGTCCGTGCCAACCGTGTCATTAGTCACCCTTGCTCCTGCTGCCTTTCCCCCCACTCCATATCCTTAATAACTTCGTTTAGCGCTTAATGTTTAGTATATCATATTTTAAATATTGCTATAACTGAATGGGCTGTGTAAATATTCTTACCAACATACCTCGATCTGTGTGCTGCTCTCTACAAGTTCGGGCCAAATAAGGCCAAATAAGAAAAGGAAAAAAAATCTAACATGATCCCTTTTTAATTACCATAAAAGGCACAAACTGAAAGGGACTATTTTGTTTTAACTTCCTATCTTGATGCAGCCATTGCATGGGGGAGACGTGAAGCTGATGGGTTTTTATAAATCTAGGCACGGTATGTCTACAAACTCCATGTGGCTCTGTTTATTTCTGTTGTCGCCTCTGACTGTGTCTTTTCTAAACAATGGATGTGAAGGCTGAAGTACGCTCCACAAGGGCTTTTTTAGCCTCCTAAACTGATGTGCCGGCAGGCTGCAAACAGCACTGTGGTTTACAGGCAAGAAATTCAAAGTTAAACTTGGCCAAGGAAGAACTTAGAGATCTTTTAGTCTTCTGCAAAAGGCCTATATCAGCAGGACCCCCTCGACATATTTTAAAAATCACAAAAATTCCATGTAGCCAACTTTACCTGATGTGCAACTTCACCACACAAGTGCCGATCACCAGCCGGTAGGGAAAGCAATTCAGCTTAAGGAATGTCCTGGCCTTATGGAGTGCCGCAAAAGAGCATTTCTCCAGTGCAATGTTTAAGTGAGTGGTCTCATGTGCAATCAGTGCAGCTCAAATGTCTCCAAATGGGTATTCTGTTCTGATCCAATGCTGCTGAAACAACTCACAGATCCAAATGTGCTGCTAGGGATTTAGGATAAATTCATTCAGATCACATTTTATTGTGAGCTTACTCAGTTTCACACCTTTGAATTACTATGCAAACCAACACCCAGCTGCTCTTCTACATTTCCAGCTCTCTGATTTTTGCAATGGACTTCCACAATCAATGTGTTATGTTAGAAAAATTACATACAGAACTGTGTTTATGAAGCAAAAGTGCGTGCCAAATGTAGGCATTGGGAAAATGTGCACAAAATATTGATTTCATGTAAACTGTTTTTAGATAAATCTCAATTTGGGGACAACCCAATTTTAAGACTGGAGAAATGATCAAAGTTCAAAAGAGCCTAATTTAAGATTGGAATGATGATTGATCGAGTAACCAAAATTGGCAGTTTGTGCTGTCTTTT